TTTCGTGGACTACAGCCCACTTCTTCGGATGTATATGATATGTGGGCTGTAGTCCGAAGAAGTGGGCTGTAGTCCACGAAAGCTTATGCTCTAATAAATTTGTTAGTCTCTAAGGTGCCACAAGTACTCCTGTTCTTTTTGCGGATACAGACTAACACGGCTGCTACTCTGAAACCTATGAAGTCTCAGTACGGGGCAGAGGTGGGAACAGAACTCAGAGATGTAAAGTATATTTAATCCAGCAGACCATGTGACTTTGGTGATTTGGAATTATTTTGCAGTAGACAGAATGAGATGAAAGCACCGTCACTCCTATCCTCCTCCATTCTATCCATCTATCTATCTATCATAGGTACTTATATGGGCCTCATCACCACAGTAATTCACAATCTTTAATGTACTTCTCCTCACATCAGCCCTGCGAGGCGGAGCAGTGCCATTATCCCCATTGTCCAAATGTGGAACTGAGGCACAGAGAGATGGAGGGTCTGTCTACACAGCAGCAGGGAGATATAATTCCCAGCTCAGGTAGATGTATACATGTTAGCTTTGATTGAGCTAGTGCCTAAAAATAGCCGTGTGGCCGCAGGCTAGCTGCCAAGAAGGTGCCCGGGATTCTGGACTGGACTGTGCTTGGACTGTTAGCCCAAGGCACTGAGGACCACTGATCTTTTTAGCACAGTAGCTTGATCAAAGCTAGAACGTATACATCTATCCAAGCTGGGAATTATACCTGCCAGTTGCAGTGTGTAGACAGCACAGAAAAACCCACAGCTGGCCTGTGCCAGCCAACTCAGGCTCACAAGGCTGTTTCACTGCTGTGTTGATTTCCTGCTTGGGCTGAAGCCCAAGCTCTGGGACCCTCCCACCTTGCAGGGTCCTAGAGCCCAGACGTCTACACTTCTGTGAAGTCAAACAGCCCGAGTGAAACAGCCTGAACCCTGCTAGCCCAAGTTGGCTGGCACGGGTGAACCGCGGGTGTCTAGTTGCTCTATGGACATACCCTAAATCAGTCAAGTATCAAGTATCAGTGGTTCTCAGCCTAAATCAGTGGTTCTCAGCCTGTGGTCTGCGGATGCCCACTATGGCTAAGATTTCTAAAAGGGGCCGCACCTCCATTTGAAATTTTGTAGGGGTCCACAAGTGAGAAAAGGTTGAGAACCACTGCCCTAAGTGACTTGCCCAAGGCCACACAAGAAGTCTACAACAGCACAGGGAACTGATCCCCAGTCTTCCAAGTTCCAGTCTAGCACCCTAACCGCTGGTCCATCCTTGCTGTTATGAGCACTAGGGACCTCATGCACCAAAGTCGTCTTCTGTTCTTAACAATCATCTGGGTGGCAAAAACATTTTGTGCAGAATTCCATCATGAAGGAAACAAAGCTCTCCAGGCTGTGTGTGTGTCACAAACACCAGCGGGAATTAGGCAACTTACATCTGAAAAACCAACCCCTGCCGCACCACCACAGAATCCCTTTCGCTGCAGATATTTTGCCTGGCCTCTCCTTCATTCATTCTTGCTATGAACTGCTCTGCTCTTGAGTCCCTGGCACATGAGGATCAAAAAAGCAACCAGCATGGCGTGTGGTAGGGAGGGGGGAATGTAAATATGTCATCGTCTCAGAAGGGACCGAAGTGACGAGAGAGTACGTGGTGGGAGAGGAAGGGAGGATTCCCGCTCTTATCAGGCTGACCAAATGCCTGGCGTGATGCACAGCCCATGGCTTTTCCATCCACTGTGCTGGGAAAGCACCACACAGCCCTCCACCCCCAAGACACAGATGACCGTTCAGATTCTGTTCAGGCACTACGAACCTGATCCGAAGGCCATTCCAGTCAATGGGAGTCTCTCCGTCAGCTTCAATGGGCTTTGGATCAAGACATGTGGTCTTACAGTCAAATTCTGCTCTCACTTTCTCGAGTGTCAACCCAAGGAAAAGCGGCTAAAGTCAATAGAATTACTTCAGACTCACCCCAGAATCCCTGAGTGTAGAATCTGGCCCTTAGTATGTTATCTAATACACAAGGACTTCTCCCAGCCTTGCAATAGATGCAAGAATGGAGAACACTGGGGTTCTCATGATATTTCTGCCCTCTCTGCATTTCTTCCATTAAAGCAAAACCATCCACTCCCTCTCTAGAGACATGCACTGGCTTAAAAAGGTAAGTCGGATGGTTTCATTCACACTGGAGTACTGGTGTTCACACCTGGTGTCCACACTTCAAGAAGGCTATTGATAAATTGGAGGGGGTTCAGAGACGAGCCATGAGAATGATGAAAGGACTGGAAAGCAGGCCTGCTAGTGATAGGTTGAAGGACCTCAATCTATTTTGCTTACCAAATAGAAAGCTAACGGGTGACTTGAGGAGTCTAGAAGTACCTACGTGAGGAAAAGAAGTTTAGTAATAGAGGTTCTTCAGTTTAGTAGACAAATGTCTAATGAGACCCAATGGCTGGAAATTGAAGCTAGACAAATTAAGAATAGAAATAAGATGTACATTTTTAACAGTGAGGATAATTAACCATTGGAAGAGCTTACCAAGGGTTATGATGGATTCTCTGTCCCTAGAAATACTTAAATCAAGAGGGGATGTTTTGTTTTTCTTAAAAGATATGATGTAGCTCAACCACTGCTATTGGATTTCAAGCAGGAATTAATCCAGGGAGGTCCTATGGTCTGTGTTATGCAGGAGGTCTGACTAGATGATAATGGTCCCTTCTGGCCTTTAACGCTGCACATCTGTGATCCGAGGGAGCGTGTCTGTCAGATGATTAATAACCACCGAAAGGAGCAAGGTAAATCCACCCGCAAGAGAGAGTTTTAATT